TGTCTTCCGTTGGTCTCTGTGTCTTCAGCTATGCTGTCTCCCAAATTATTTGTAGAGACTTGCATGTTAATGAGGCCAAATTAACAAATCTATTTCTGGTATTTATTTATTTTCCCCCTTCTTACACATAAGTACTACTTCCTGTCGTCACACTGTTTGATATTCACTTTACTTGATAGGTGTATTGAAAATTCTTCCTGTCTTGTCTTCTTGTACTTCCTGCATGTTTGTTTTATTTCCCCCTCCCCTTTTTTCAACTTTTTTGTGTGTCTGTCAGTCTCAAAGGAGGTCTTAAACAAATTTGCTTGTTTTATCAGGTGCTGCTTCGTTTCCGTTGCATGCGTGGTAGCTCACTCTCCCATGCGCTCATTCTGTCACTCACCCTGCCTTCACCCTGGTGTTTACCATCATTTTGGAAAACTGTTCAGGGGTTGTCTGATTATAGCTGCAGGCAAACTCGCTTCGATACCACCTTCTAAAAATCTGCCCCTAGCTGTGCCTGGGTTAGATGTTGCATTTGTCTTCTTCAGTTTGTCTGTGTCACTTGGTGAACTGCTTGGATAAGGAGGGAATGGTGAAGAAGCTAAAGAAGCCCCCTCCAGAAGTTAAAGCATAGGCTCTGGTAACTGAGGAAGATGGTGTAATTCTTCTTCTAAACAGCTGAGTGTTTTGACAGGAAGATTTTCCTGTGGTGAGGTTTTAAGCTGAGCACACAAACTGCCTGTTTGGCCAAGAAAAAAAGTCTTCTTCTCAGAGTAGTACTCCCAAACAAATACAGGAAACGGGGGAGGGTCTTAAATCTAATAACTTCCTGGTCCCTACAGTTGAGATCAAGGCACCTTTTGCTTTGTGTCTAACTCACTGTGTATATGCATTTTCTTGTGAAAATGTTAAACATTTGTATTACTTACTTACTACTGAATAACCTGCTCTTTCTGGGTATAAATACCAAATGCAGTAAAACTGATTTCTTTCCAGAAAAAAAGGCAATCAAGGCCTGTAATTCTGAGGGTTTTACATGCGTAGGTGATGCCGTTGGGGCCTGGGGAAGATGAAGATGACCTTCCCCTGCAGGGCTGTCAGAGCTTCCCTCCGAAGTCACGGCCCTTCACCTTTCTTTGACCATGGGAGGGAACCTGCTGCCACATGCAGAGAGGGCAAGGAGGAGTAACAAGGAAGCCATGTGTCACACACGAATGGGTAGGGGTGCCAGTGCCAAAACTGGAACCTCTCAAGGTGGGAGGATACCACATGTGAGGAGCCAAGGGCACTCTGGTGCTCCTTGAGACAAAGCAGGTTCTCCTGCTACTTCAGGAAGGAAAGAAACCAAAATTTTCCAGCTCTGTCCAGAGGAACCACAAAAGGGAAAAGTCAAGATACCAGAGAGGGAGGGCAAAGCAGGGGGAAGGGCTTTAGTAGCTGTGGGTACACAAATTTAGATGCTTGAGTCTTGAGAAAAATATTTGTTGTACTCCAGCTGTAGTGCTCTTTCAGTCTCCTTGATTCCTGAGGTTGTTTATCTGAAACAGAATTTCCATAGGATAATTGTATTAGCAACTTTAGGTATGTATAAGCAAGGTGTGTTACAGCATCTGCAGCTCATTGGAGGTGGGTGTCAGTGTTGGGCAGATGAGGAACAGAACCCAGCCAGGTCAGGCAGTTTTGCCACGGCAGCTCACCCACATTGTGGGCCGGTGCACCCACAGATGGATGGAGGCAGGTGAGCGGGGAGGCTGGAGGGTGTTGAGGGCACAGCAAGAATTACCCTGGCAGGGAAGTGATCAAGTGCCAGGAGTCAGCCAGGTGTGGTGAGGGATGACAGAGGGCTGAGGAGGAGTGGGGGTGAAGCCTTGCTGGCGAAGGCACCTGAACCCCTTCCATGGGAGATCTCCAAAGTGCACAGAGAGACCTTGGCTGGTGACGGGGTGTTTGTGCCGATGGAGGCCAGAGCTAGGTAGGTGCTGGAGTGAGAAAATACCATGGTCCTGCTGGTAGAACAGTCCTGGTTTCTTTGTGCTGCTACTTTACCTCACCCTATTTCTGCTCATTTAGGAGATCTTGCTTGTCGAGATGTAAGGTAACAAAAGAGAGCTGGACTGTGACCCCTCTGGGAGTCCAGAATTCACTGGCCACAGCTGCTGAGTGGTGGTGCAAGGGCTTAATTTTTAAAGTGCAGTTTGTTATGAAATTGTCGGATTTTCTAGACTCTAAAATACAAAGTATTAATGACTGGGAATGTCCCTGGTAAGGAGGCATGGGAGAGAGATGGTGAAGATAAATGAAGCTGAAGAGCAGCTCCCTTCCCATTAGTCCAGGCGCTACTCTTGTCGTGTGAATATCTATCCTTCCTCTTTCTCTTCCCTGTCAACCAGAAAGGGGTGCTTTGCGTGACCCTCCCTTCTCCTGCTCTTCATCTGTGCAGAGGAAGTGAATTTGAGGAAGCAGGTTGGATGGAGGGATGGAGGGAGAAGAATGTAGCAGAGGAAGGTTCAGTGTTTTTCTTCATGTGACTGTTCTGGGGAAAATGGCCTACATATTTCTGCTCTGGTCTGTCAAAATCATCTGCTGCACATCTAAAGGAATGTCACTTAAAAAGGGAAGTGGCAGTTGCCATCTCTTTAATCAACTTCTCACCACTTGTGATAACATCTTAGATGAAAACAGGATTGCTTTCTCTTCAAATCCTAGCCCGGAATTCTGTTTTTCTCAGTGTTCTGACTCCATAATCCATCCAGCTCCCAGAACAAAGAAATTCACCTCATATAAAACATTATTTTCCATGAGCAAATGTGAAATTACTCCTTTTTCTGATCGGATTAAAAATTAACAGACCTCTGTACCTGCAGACCACAGCTACTTTAATAAAAGTGAGGGGAGAAGGTGAGTAATACTTGGTAGATATCTTTGGCAGAAAAATAAGTTAATCAAGGAGACTAAAAAGTACAAAAATACTAAAAAAATGGATTTAGCATCTCTTGACAAGGTGTAGAAAGAAGAGTGAAAGTTCTACCACCTGCAGTGTCTGTTTCCATCTTTTACTTAGAAGTAAACACAATTAAGAAAAAAATGGCACATGAACTTATTTGCCAACCCTCCTGCCATGCTTCTTTTTTAAAGCAATGTTCAACCACATACCTGGCAGCTTTGGCTCTTAGACATCCAGAAATTCCAGACAAATGGCTCCACATCACATGTGCAACAAGTCCAACTTGTTCCGAATGCACTGAACTTCCTATGCATGTGTGGAAGAAATGTGCATGGATAATAAACCGCTTCGTTTAGGAAGTGCAAGTGTCAGCAGCTTTTGCATCAGACCTGTCTTTTTCCTACCTCTGCCCTCGAATAGAGGGAAGAACCTATTAAGTTTTGAAGACTTTAAAGAGCCACTATGCCAATCCATCCTCGTGAATAAAAGGAGTGATTCTGTGTTTCAACTCAACTGCAAGTAAAATAAGCAGTTAGGGTCTTTGATCTTGTTAGCTATTAAAAATGCTTAAAAATCCTTTATGTTACAACATAATCTTGGCTGTTCATGTTGATTATGTGGGATTAAGGGTCAGAAATTGCATCTGAAGTAATTTAGATGTTGGGAAAAGGGAGAGGTGAGGGAGAAATGGCTTGTCCACTTCTAAACTTTAATTTGCAGAAGACAAACCTGAAAAGACACATCTTGTTGCTTGTGGGTGTGGTTGGGCATTTTATTTGTCATGTCCATCCCCTCCCCCCGCTCCTTTGTAATTAAGTCTCTACCTTAATGGATGTTCTCTGAAGCCCTTGATAATGCTCTGATGCTTCTTAAAATGTATGCTGCAGAGCCTAGGGAGATGAAATATATTTAAGGAGAGAGTGATAAGGATCATCCAGAAGGTATATGATTCATTTTAAGGCCTTCAGCTTCAATTCCAGTGCCCATGAGTGAAGCAATAAGTGCACAAACGTAATTTAATAGCATACAGGCAGAGTTTCCATCGAACAGATCTTGCAGCAAATATTTTTTCTGGGCATTGCATTAACCTGGTTAACTTTGCCTGAGTCCGTCTAAGGAGGGCTCAGCTCTCCTTTCCAGTGGTGGAGCTGTGGGGACGCTAACTGCAGAGGGACGAGCGCATGTCTTCAACCATCAGGGCTGTTTGCAAAGTGAGCCTCTCTCCCTGCCCTAATGAATGATTTCTGACTTCTGGACGTGGGCTTTTCCTGTGCCACCAGGCTCTGGCACCTCAGCTGGTTTGTGGAGGAGAGGGAGGAAAAACCTTTCAGTGTTTGTAAACTCAGTGTGATAACAAGTTGAATTACTGCTCATAAAAATGGGAGTGTGTACTCAATGATATCTGTTGTAGTGAAGTGGCATACAAACTTTTCCCAGACGTTTAGCTTCATCTCGAAACTTCAAGGTCTTTCTTGGTTTGGTCAAAGACTTGAATAAACTTTTAAAGGTTCCTAACCCTTCCCATCCCACTGTGAACTGGAATTACTCAGACAAAATCCTCTTCTGCAGCAGCAGAGTTATGCCAAAGTTTTTTATTTGCAGGATACCACAAAACCAAATATTGTTTGGTAAAACCAGCTGTCCTATGAGAGGCTACTTAGTTCAGAGCAGAAGAGAAAGAACAAAAAACTTCTTTGTCTCTCTTATCCAAAATTGTGATCTTTGAACTTTTAATAGATGGGTGTGTGACACAAAGGAGTCTTTGTCAGGTGAGGAGTTCCTTGTCTATTGGATAACAATGCAAAAGACATTTCGGAAAATACCTGAATTGCCAGATATTAAATTCTGCATCCAGAAGCAAACACTTGAACTACTGGTTTTAAAAGCGTACAGAAGGAGGTAGGGATGTTAATGAAATTGCTTAGAAATCTCCCAGCTATGGAGTTTAGCTTAATTCTGGTAGCTTGAAGTCCATCCTTTTCTTAGTTCCTTTCTTGCCTTCACCAAAACTTCTTCTGAAGACTAAAGTATTTTCCCCTTCCCTTGTCTCCCCTCACCCCTTTCATTTCTTTAGGTGGTTTCTTGCAATGTCATGGGCGATTCTGTTACATTTGTTGTCACTGTCTCACATACTTCACCCGCAGCCTCAAGTCAGTCATACAGCGTGAAACTGTCTCCACTTCACTTGCAGGTAAAGTATTAAATGTTACTGTCTCTCTTCTTCCTTTTGTTACGTCTTATCCCATAGCTACCTGAGCTGAACCTCCTGTTCGCAAAATGCGTATAAGTTCATATTAACTCTGGTGTAAACCTTAATAATATTAGTTTCTGTCTGGGGCAGGTGATAATTTCATAAATTCTGCTGCCTCTTTAGGAGACTGTGGATAAATAACATGTTGGGTAAACTACTCGAATGTTTAGAACAACAATATCCTTTTTTGACTGGCGTGCACTCTCAAAGCTTCAGTAACTTCTGCCTTCTTAGACTGTCACTCTGAATTTACTTACTCAGAAACCGATATAATTCCTCCTTTGGCAAGCATTAGTATGGAGCTTGGCCTACAGTTTCCTTACAGGGCACTAGAACGCTCTCCAGTAACTGCTTTCCTATCCACAGCTTCAGCTCTACGTGAAAGACAAAGGAGAAGATGTCAAAGTCGAGTGGTTCCTCGTTAACGCCAATGAAACCAACTTTGAAATCCAGCCAACAGTGAAGGAGGTCAGTCAACAAGTTTTATTTGTTGTAATGGTAGAGAAGATGGGTCTCCATCCCTTTGGTGCAAACCCCAGTGTAATACCTTTGGTCACCAGTCGAAGTGTCTGGAGCGAACGTATCAAGTGAGGCTGGAAAAGCTGTAGCAAAAACACCTGTTCCTTTCTGCTGGCTGCTTTTTGTAGTAGTGTGGGGCAGTTACCTGTTGGCAGTGCCATCTTGAACTCCTTCAGTGAAATCTGTCATGGCTTATCTGTCAAAACCTTACGTCTTTGAAATCTAAGAGCATTTCTCAGGACTACTGAAGCACTGAAGATAAATCAAGTCTGTATTTTACAGACAAATGTCTTCGCAAACATTTTTCATCCAAATTCAAAGGTGTAAAAAATGTCTGTTCCTAAATACCTTCTCTCAGAGCTCTTCTGAAATGATTTTTTAAAAAAAATTTGTAATGGTATTCCCATCAAAGTAATTACAAAGTTGCCCCTTCCTTAAATCAATTTTGAAATCTGGGAACAACAGTTCAGAAGCAGCTCTGAAAAAGTACAGTTATTTAAGAAAATGATGAATGGTCTAAAAATATCTTGATGCTTTTGGAATTGCACCTTATCTTAGCATATAAACACTGATTCAATGGGGTTCTTTTATTGGGACATCCCCAAAAGAGTTTCTTCATGACTGACTCTCTTCTGCCTTTGACTCTTCACAATTATTTTTTTTTTTTTTTTTTGCACGAATGTGATTTAAGCCTTTCTTACAACACTGGGTGAAGCCTTGCTTATGTTTTGTGAATTTGGTTTTCCAGCTGTAGACCTCATTAAAAGCTAGGTTTATTGTATGGTAGAGCTGTACTGAGTGACCTAAAATTGTAATAATTTATTACCACAGTTTTTGTGCACAAAAATGTGAAACTCATAACTGAAGGCAGATGAGTCTTTTGAAGTGTGTTTTAATGTAGATTTTACTGTGCATATGTAGCAGTGTAAATGACCTTCACGTGTTGGAGTGGCGTGCTGATTATCCACATACTGAACAGTCATTAAGTACTTACTGGCAAACGCAGATGACTCTGGTACAGTCACTGGCCCTCACAACCTGCTTTTTGAGAGGTACCCGACTCCAGAGTTGCAAAGGAGTTGCATCTTGTGGCACTTTGTGTGTTTGAAGTAAGCCTGTTAAGGTCTTAATAGTTAAGGGCTTTATTTTCACTTTGAAGTTTCTATTAGCGCTTAAGGAAGAGAGGAGGTCATAAAAAAAAGAGCCAAAACCTGTGAGTAACCTACACCTTGGAAATTGCTTCAGTCCCTAAACTTAAATGTCGGCTTCTGTGTCTTGTTTCTTCCAGTTTCAGAAGCAATATTGTGTGTACAAATAAATATCTTTAATTGCTGGTGATTATCTACACAGTGTGTTTGTCATCAGTCAGACAAGATGGCTATAATAACCTATTTTCTGTTGATAATAGCTGGGTGAACCTGAGTTGTATTTGGTGCCCTGGCTGAGTGGCAGAGTTTGGGTTTGCATGCGGTTGTGCTGCTGTGACTCTATATACTGGCCATGGTAGCTGGCTGTGTGCCTCTAGCCCATGTCAAACCCAAAGTAACATGTGTTGTCTTAAGCCTTTTTGGTTGGCATTTAAGTCATTATGGCTTGCCTTATGGAGGGTGGCACGATGGAGCATTACTTTCCAAATGAGGATGGCTAAAAATGAGGTTGGGCTGAAAGGTGGTTCTTAACCAAGCTGCTTTCCAAATAACTATGGGAACATCAGAAAATATCTGTGAGTAGAAGTCCAATGACTATTGTTGCTGTTGTTACCGTTAAATAACAAATGTTGGTGGCAAAGCGAGAGCTAGCTGGTATTTTACAAGTTTGCACCTTTCTTCATCAGCCAGCATTTAGGTAAGGGCTGGGGAGGGAAATTACCTCCAAAATAGTGAAAACTAACCACTATTTACTTGCTTATTTAAATAACACAGGTAATGAAATTACTGAAACTAAAGCTTTAGACAGCCTAATTCACTTCATGAATATTTTTAAAAGTCAAAGAGCATTCATTATATGCAAGTTGCAGAAACGTGCTGCTGCCTCTTCCCTTGGCAGTTGTTTGAGGGAGCATGGTGTGAACAAAGCAGAGTTTCTGTGGGACTGGTCGATGCTGTTGTAGTTTGGAACAGTACCCACCTGTCTGTCATCAGAGGGAGGTTAAGCAAGAAGGCAGTGAAACAGGATTTCTGTACACAACATTCCAGGGATTTTTATGAAACACCTGTAACACTTGGATAATTGGGAAAAGGCTGTTACTCCAAATCTGTTTGACCTGTTGTGCAAGCTGCAAACGTGCCTTTAGGAGTGCAGAAGTCATTGCACAATCATCCTCCTACACCTGAGAAAGGACCAAGGCTTTTGAAATGACCCTCATGCCAAGAAATCTATGCTGAGGGACACATCTCTACAATGGAGAAGTGTGATGCAGGATAGCCAGGGTTGCAGAGCAAAGCAGCCGGCAGCTGGTGGAGACCAGAGCTGGTTCTGCCTTGGTTTCACTCTTGAGCATGGCTGCATGGGTCAGGCAGTGATGAAAGCTGTTGATGCACGGCCACAGTGTTACCAAGATAAATTACCAGGGTTAGGCCTTCAGGTCCCTGCTTGATCTCCCAGCTGGTGCAGATCAGGTGTCCTTGTCATCAGCGTGCCTTGCCTTTGCAGCAGGGCCTGGTTTGTTGGCTGTGGCATGCCTGTTGTAGGCATCCTCCCGTCAGACAGCAGCATGCAGAAGGATGCCTTTTTTCTGCTTTGTGTGGTTATTACATTCTCCAGCTATTCTGTATCTGCATCTGTAAATCTGTTCCCTCTCTTTTAAAGTCTTGTTCTGTAGTAGTGAAGTCCCTCGAGTGTGTTATCGGGTGAGAAAAGATGGATGAGCCCTCTGTTGTTTAGGTTACATTTTTGTCTCTTACTTCTGTCTTTTCTTTAGAAAAGAAACCTCACTGAGATTCCTCCTGTGCTACCTTCATTGCAGCTGGGTATCAAGCTGCCCTTTCTGTGATGGCTTAAAGTAAAAATCCAGTCTCTGTAGGTAACTGAGCAGAAGAGATTTTCTGAGCAGCACGATATGGGAAGCAGGCTTCTCCAGGAGCACAGGGAGGGCAGGGGTGGTTCACTGTCTTCATGCACTTTACAATTAAGCGTGTGAAGCTACCTGTGTAAGCAAAACCTGTGGTCTGTTCTGATCCCTCAGAGATAATAGTGTTGAGCGCAGTTTGCCATGAGATTTTTTGAATGGACAAACATACGAGTCAGTCTCCCAGAGCAGCATGACTGTCTGTCCTTAGAGTGCTCTTTTCAGCGAGGCTGCAGACCTTCGAGAGATACTATAATAAATTTTCAGTGCAGCACAGGATTAGCTTGTTCTCAGCTGTTGTGAGCTGGCATAACTCCCATTAAATCAGTGGAACAGTGCCGATCTGCTTATCTGATGACCTGATCTGCTCTTTCAGTGGGGTGCAAAGCAGTGCAAAAACTTAACACCACCATCGTAAGAAATAAACTGTTAATGAGGCTTCTGGCTTTGTGGCTAATAGCTCTGCCTTCCTAACTCTCAGAGCAGCATGTGACTCTTTTTTGTGTATATTTCTAGTTTTCCTTTAATGCGTAATGCAGAAATTTCAAGTAATTATTTGCATGATCTCTTGGTCAGTTTTGTTGTTGGCAACAGAAATCATGTCTCTCTCTGACAAAATTAATGTTCAATAGCTTTGATGATTTAAATAAAATTAATTTTGTCTTAACTTTTATTCTTATGGGTTTTGAGAAGCATGATTGTTTGTTTCCTCTTAGGGACAGACTGCAGGGACATGTGCAATATCTGAAACGCTTAGAGATGTTTTGAAGAACCTCTTTAGCTCAGTTTCTCCTTCTGTAGTCTTGAGTACGAGGCCTACAGATATAAAGGAGGTTCAGGTAAGTCTCTTTCCTACCTAAATCTTTTGAGAAGTCTCCTTCTGCTTAGTGTTTTTATTCATGACTCACAAGTGAGTAAGTTTAACGCCATTTGGTGATCAGAAACTGGAACACATTCTTTAAAACAGCATAGCCTTTGGCAGTGAAGGCTTTGTGATCATCACTCCCATGTGGCTACCTGTTGATGTTACACCCTGTCACACATCTGCTTTGCTGTATTGATGTGACAGAAGTTGAAGGTATTTGGTATCTGCATATGCACGATCCCTCTTGTTCTGCTTGCTTTTCTCAGAATGTACAGAACACAAGCCTTCTCCCTCAGGGCACAAGTCCGCCTAAACCTCCAAGGGCTCATGAACTCAAACTGCTGGTGAAGAACATTGCGGTAAACCTAATTGATCACAGTGCTGCAGGTAACTTAGCTCACGCCATGCTGCTACTTTTCAAGCAGAGTTGTTTGGTTCTTTTGGTTTTTTTTCCTTTTGACTGAAATAATTTGAAAGTTCTGGGTTACAACCTTCTCTCAAAAGAAGGTGTAAGAAGTAGCTGTGCTCAGAAAAACAGATTAAGTCATGCTTGTACAGAACAGTGTGTTAGTTTACTAAAGTATTTAAGTGTCTTGATCTTCTTGTAAACAAATCCATCATTTTTGAAAACAAATTGAAGTGAACATATTTGTAAAGTTGGCTGATTATTTTCCTGGAGTTTAGTTTTAATTTCGAAAAGTTATCACTTTGGGTGTGCCCAAGATAGGGGGCTCAAATCCAACTCTCCATTAACTGTTAGCAGTGACGTTGTTTTGGTTCAGTATTACCTTATTTTCATAGCTGCTTTTCTTTGCTTTTGAACCATTTGCTGATTTATCTAAACCTCTCCTGCTCTGTGTAAACTCTCCTCAAAGGTGGTGTTTTGTTATTGGAGATTTTTTACCCATAATAAAGTAGTTCTGTGAGTAGGGGAGGGAGTACCTCTTGCAAGTGGAGTATGAAGCCAAAAAGGAGGTCACTGCCTAGTGAAGTTGGAGTCTTGGTTTTGGAAGGAAACACCCAGCCTGTCTAGCAAGTATTCAAACTTCTTCAAGTGCAAGTATGCCTGCATCACTGGGGCATGAGCAAGCATATTTCAGATTTTGTCAGAAATAACAGATTTGAGGCTGTGTTATTTATGGTCACTAACAATTCTGTAACAGTCTTTTTAGTGGAATCTTATGGCTGCTAAATTGGGCAAGGCACTAGTTTTGTATAAATATATCCTGCTTGCTATACTCCTTTTTTCAGTTACATGTAATAGGTTTCTGCCCTGGACTCTTGCATAATATTGTTTTGCTCATCCTGGTTGGAAGCAGTTCCCCTAAAAACCTCTGCAGTCTGTTTTCTTTTTTAAAAAACAAATTATTTTTAAAGCAGTTCTGGAACTCTTCACAGTGAAATGTCCTATATAAATAAAACTGTGCTGAAAAATGTAGACTGCAGGAAAACTCAGTCAAAATTTTTTATCACTCTACAATTTTATAGTACAAACTAAGCTTTTCAATAGAGCAGCCTTTAAAACTTGGGAAATGAGATACCTTCTTAATGTGCATATGGTGCAGACAACAGAGGGTTCATCTTCTGAGAAGCGTCTCTGCCCCCTCCCTGAAAACGGAAGGAAGAGGAGACAATTAATGTGCTCTGCTTTGCGAACCCAGGTGTTGGGAGGCAAAATTGCCATTTGCTTCTCTAAAAGGAGATGGAGGGAATTTTGCTGGTTCCCTAGCAACTCTGAAAGTGTAAATGCTTTGGAACTGAGTATGAGAAATAAAGCTTCATAGTGAGATTTAGCTGGTACACTCAAAATATGCTCAAAATGCAGGAAATACTGCACAGCTGGGAAGATGGTAGCTTATGGACATAGTCTGCTGCCTTTCAATTAATGTTCCCTTTTCCTGTCCTTGTCTTGCAGCAATAATTGATTGTCCTGTTGCAACTCTGAGACTTGATAAGAGTGTGCACTGTTGCAGGCTAACCTGCATAGACATAGAGGACTGGGGAGGAGCGGTTTGTCTGTCTTGATCGTTACCATCCTTTGACAATGGATGCTAACATTGTTCATAGAAGCCTGTGGCTTTCCTGTAGATGTGTTAGTTCAATTAGTAAGTAACCAGTAGCAGAACTGGCCTCTGCTTATATGCTGTGCCCAATTTATCTCTTTAGTTTGTGTATGTAAACAAAGATTATCCTAGATTTAGTAGTATATGGTCCACAGCGTATCATCCAGGGCAAAAGTGACTTCTGCTGTTAAGGAAGGAATTGTGAGTTGTGTACACTAGGGTGTGCAGAGCAGAAATGCTGAAATACCCTGTTTGGTATCAGTCGGTCAGTGGCTCTGGTGTAATTTTGGCCAAAGCTGTACAGACACTGCTGAGCGCTGCTGGCAGAAAGAGCAGGCTGCAGAAACATATGGCTGGGTTAACAGAAAACCACCCCAGGTTCATTAACTCAGGCTCAGCGTGCTGTGAAAGCAGCTAAACTACTTACTCCAGGGTCAGCTTGGATCCCAAATAAGCTGCCTGCACACAGCGCTTTGTCTCCTCTAATAACCTTGCCAGGCCCAAGCTGCTGCAGTGCCTGAGACAGGGCTCATCCACAACCCTGATGCACTACCAGAGCACAGCTGAGAATTTATGATAGTGATTATAAACGTGTATTCTTCTGGAGAAGTGGAGGCAGCATTGCTTTGCACTGCTTTGCTTTGCTTTGCTTTGCACACAATCGGTACTGAGCTGTTTGCCCCTTTCCTTGACATTTTGAAATGCTGTGACCGAAATTATTTCTGATGCTGTGAAAGCCATACAAAAGAAATTGTTTTAAGGGTAACACATTGTGCAAACTATTTCCCCTTGGAGCAGCAGCATGACTGCTCTAATATGCCAACTTGCCACACTGTCAAATTCCAAGATCAAGGTAGAGATAATTCTGCACCGGAACTCTAAAATGCCATAGACTTGTTAAAAACTGCAGTCTGCAAAGCCATTGTTAATTAACACTTCTGTCATCATTTACTTGCTAGCAGAAAAAAGCTTACTTTGATGTCCAAAGAAACCATGGTGACTGTGGCCAGTAGGAACTTTGAAAACAACTTTTTTTTAATAAAGCAGCTGAAAGCAACTTTACTCCCTCCCCGCCTTGCACCCACACCACCACCACTTTGCTGTTAATTCTGTCTCCCCAAACTTTTTGATCTTTTTATGCCTGCACCTTTTTGTTTCATACCGGAATTTAAATTGGGTCATCATGTTTCACACTACGTGCTAAGGACAGTGATGACCCAATCTTGACCACTGCCATTAAAGTAGATGGTATCCAAACTGGGGAGAGAGAAGGAATTTATTCTGTGAGGGAGTAAGGGAGTGTTTTGAATAGTCTGTTCAGAAGCACAGTTTGTAAGGGTGTTCTTCTCTTTCTTTTGCGTAAGCGTACCTCCTGATGATGGAATATTAATAACTGGATATTGATTTTTCTTGCCCTTACAGGCAGCACAAACCTTGCGTGTATAGTTCAGCTGAATGACCCTATGCAGAAGTTTTCCAGCTCTGTAGCCAAAAATGCTGCAAATCCCTTTTGGAAGGAAGAGTTTCTCTTGTAAGTAACTTACATACTGAGAATACTTTTATAGTAAAGCTTTTTTTTTTTTTTTGCTTAAGCTACATGAGGTTAGTAATCTGGAGCTGGTAGGGAATTCAGGATATCTAATTACCCTGTGTATGGATATGAGATCAAATAGCTCTCTAGATCTTTCGTGGTAGATATCTGATTCTAGTAAATGGCAGCAGTGACAGGCATAATAAATCACCTTATGCTTTCATACAGTGCCAAAAAAAGAGATTTTGAGGTCACTTTGCAAACTGCATTTGAAGAAATCTGATGTCTCTCCTTTCCCTCCCCTGAGTAGGAAATGTACATGTGCAAAAAATTTGACCATCTAAAAAATAGTGGCTATGATTAAAAAGAGAGTGTAAAACTAGGGATATTATTTTTCTGTAGAACAAAAACAGGACTTTTTGGCGGTATGCATGGTTTTCCGTGATTCACACAGCTTCTGTAAATAAGATCAAAAGTGAGCAGTTCTAAAACTACTTTCATTTCCACTTCCTAGCAGCAGAGCAGAAATATGTGGTAGTGTCTGTGTTGTATAAGTTGAGGAAGGGGGAGCCACTGATGGCGGGGTGGGTCAGAGGGGTGTTTTCTCTGGTGGCTTTAAACACACGCACAGGCAGGCAGAAGCAGCTTCCCAGGGGAATGGGGTAGAGGTGCTGCCATACAACGTACTGCAAACACTGCAGTATTAATGTGAGAAGCTCTTGTCTCAGTTCCATTCTCTCCTCTCGAATACACACACACACACACACACACACACACACACACACACACGTATATATATATATCGGAGAGTAGTATTTCAGTTGGTTTTGTGTGATGGTTTTTTCACTGCCTAGTCACAGCCCGGCATCCGCTGTGTCTGTTCCCTCCTGCAAAGCAGAGGCTTAGCTTACAAGGAGCTGAGAGTGTATTCAGACCTGTGCCTGTCCACGCTGAGTGCTCTCTCTCTTCCTCGAGGAGTGGTGTGCACTTCTCAATGCCCTTCCTAAACTTGAAAGGAGAGTGAGCGTGCAGTACACAGACCTTCTTCTGCCTCCTCATCGCGGTGGGACAGACTGCACCCATGGATGTACAATGTGTGCTGCAGAAACAGGAGAGCTGAGAGGAAAAGCAACAGGGGCTGCTTGATTTGAAGAGACCAGGATCAGTCATCGCAAGTTGTATAGAACTTGGAGAGCACTGGGCCCCTCTGCATGTGTGTGCGCAGGGGTTAGAGATACTTAAAAGTCATTCTAGTCAACGAAGATAAATCGATGTTGTAGAACATCACTGAAAGGCCTCACCTTTTATGTGGCCTGATGGAGGTGTATGCACCTGCTTCTTTCTTATTGTGTTGTCACGTGGAAAAGCAGCTAGGAAGCTCTCTTCCTTCAGACATGCATTCTGCAAAGTCTGATTTTAGTTATGATGATCTACAGCTCTTGTGGAAAGCCACAGATCAGATTACTTTCTTCTGTGTCAGCATGCTGCGTTGCCATCAAGACCTAAGGATTAACATGATGCGATTTGCAAGAGAAGGGGGAAAAATGCGCTTCTTTAGCAACTTTCTGGAGTATCTCAAGAGGGCTTCAGCCACTTTGAATGAAGCCGGTGAATCACTTCAGCCATCTGTTGGTGAAACAGCATCCATGCTCGGTGTCGCAGGGCAGATAACGTTCCCAGTGATTTTGGTCAGGAAGTGTGTAAGAACAATACCCTTCCCAACTGAAAGTGCAGAGAGGGGGCAAGCAGGATGTGATTAAGTTGACTGGAATTTGGCCTTGATGCTAGGGATAATGCTGGGGTTTCCACAGTGTTGGCTGCTTTTCAGAAGTGAATGAGGTAAGCTTGGGGACTTTTAGAGATGAGTGGTCAGGATTTGGCTGCATGCCTTCTTTCAAGTTCACACCCCTGCCCCCTTTTCTTTCTTCAAAACCAAAAATACCCACCAGTCTGAAGACCAGCATACTGACCACCATGTCAGGCTCTGCTTCAGCTTCATGGGAAGAGCAGCAATAGTACCATCAAGATGTTTCCTTTCAAGTTTTGGAGGTGCAGGAGGGGATAGTAGTGGCAGCGAAAAGCTTAAAACCTGCTGCATCTAATGAAAGTGGGATGCCTGCACCCAAGATCACACCATCCTGAAACAGACACATGCAAAAATAAAATACATATATCTGGGCCTTTAAGTGTTTAGACAGGGCATCCACTGAGAAGGTTATAAAATCAAGTTTTACTGGAAAGTTCCTCAGTAGGTACCCAGTTTGCTTTGCTGTCTCAATTAGAGGAAAGGTTTTGTATCTGTTGTCCAGTCCATCTTACGAAGAACCATATATGCAAGTAATTCTGCTAGTAGTTCACGTTGGTTCTGTCACACAGAAACTAGTTTTTGTTATCTTCCAACATCCTTGAGTCTTATTTTGGAAAAGTAATACTGACTACTCTCACATAAGACTGTAACTATGTTTATTTACTTGCATCTATCCTGCTTTTGTAGGATGCTTTCCTCCTTTGACAGGATACCCTGCAGCTTTGAATGGGTTGTTGATTGGACCTGTTCCAGTTTCTTGATTTACAATTTGATCCTGCCAGGAAAAAATAGCTTCTTACTGCTGTGGTGCGACAGTTGGAGTAGGGTCCGACATCAACTTGAAGAGCAGTGTTTGTCAGCTCCTGGGGAGAGGAAAAGCCTCTGAAATTTTAAGAAATGAAATTTGTGCAACAGTGCTGCAGGAAACCAGGCCATGGTTTTCAGATCCTTTCAGTCAGTCTCACCTGAGGTGAAAACGATGCTACGCATGCGGCGTATCCAGCAGCCTGGCAGCGCTGCCCTGTGGCCAAGAGAAGTTGGGGTGTTGGGAACCAGAACGGGAAAGGGGAAAACATAAGTGGGAAGGAAAATCTGCTCGCCTGCAAAGACCTAACATAGTTTCGTTTACTTCACAGTGAACTAAGTGCCAAATCAAAAGCATTGCAACTGCAAATAGTAGAAGATGGGAAGTTGGATAGTAAGTATCAAAACTGAATTATTTTGCATGATGAGCATGAGCATTGCTAAATGTTGACATAAGTCCTCTTTTGGTTCTACCTGGCCATATAACCATATAAGAAACTCAGATTTCTGGATGTGCATTAAAGCATAGATATCTCATACTGACTTGTCTGGTATTGAAATCGGGTATGTCTCAAGCATGGCTCCAGGCAGCTCTGAGGGGGAAGAGCAGCTGTGGAAGGGAAATCAGCTGAAAATAGCCAGCCAAACTTGCACAAAACAGACAGCTTGGGCAAATTTTATTACTTAAGTTTGTGGTTTTAAACTCCATAAGCCTGTCCTTAAATTTATGTCCTAGAGCTGAAATCCATGGAAAATTGCAGAGCTCTTGGGCAACACTGATTGACCTGGCTTGAGTGCTGTCTGTGTTCAGCATTATGTCTATCAGTAATCACGGGCAGAAGAGAGAATACACTGTTCTCATGTCTCTCTCATCCTCAGAGTTAAGATTACAAAGAAGCTTTGAGTTTCTTTCCAGACTGTCAACATCCTGGATCTTCCGTCTGATGAAACCCTAATTTTTCATCCTTGTAAACTTTTAACAGATCCGCTGTGGATGATCTGCTTTTCAGGTTAAGCTCTCCAGGCCTTTCTGTGGCTGAAGGGTAATCATGAGTGCAAAACCTAAATCCTTCCTTTTCAAGCCTTAGAGGCTGCCTAGCAATTACTAGGTATAAAACACAGTAATTCTGATTATATTGGATTAAATATAAAACATGGGAGCTGAAACATTTTTACTATTTGATTCTATTGTTGCAGTTTGCAATTAGCCTTCAGTGGCAAGAAAACCCCTCCACAGAACTATTGCATTTGGTTTATTTGGAGAAGCATTACTTACCTAGTGAGGGTAAGGGGTAGGTGAGTGTTTGAGACCAGAGAGCATGTTGGAGTGTCTGACATGAGCTTTGTAAACTTACTCCAAGTACTTCATTGGGCTTTATTGAAGTCATGACACGACATCATAAATTCTTCTTGTATGTGCTACATGTTATTTTGCTGATACAGAGTTTTGCTGCAGCTAGAAATAGTAACCATTTCATCTCTTGGATCTGTTTGCTTTTTCCTTCTTATGTCAGGTTTCAGGTGTAAAACAAACAAAAAAGAAACATCACTTTTTGACACTCAGCTATTTCTCTGTGTTTTAGTACTGTCCGTTGAATTCAATTTAGTTCAGAAAAAAGTTTAAAATATTGGCCAAAGCTCTTCATACCCAGTAATAAAAAATAATGTGCTTTTACTCATGGTGTCTTGTGATAGTGGGTGAAGGCTTGGACAATCATTTATTAGGTAATAATTTATCTAAGTCACTGTTAATAAGTAATATAGCCAAATGGACTGTGTTTGATTTTTTTGTTTGGTGTTACTGTATTTATTTGAATTTTTAATAATCTAGATATACAAAGTCAGTGCAATACTTTGGATGTGATCTGCAATTATTTGAGGGATTAGGAAGTCAAATGTAGGCAAATGCTTTAAAAGCTTTCTCTGATATGAGTGCTGTTTTTTTATTTTTAGCAAAAAAAAAATGGAATCTATATATGGTCAGCAAATGTGTATTGTTTCTTGCATAAAGTTTAGTCTTGCCTGTACCTGAGCATCTGTAATAATGGGTCTTTCAAACAATACCAGCAATGTTCCACATCCTTCTAAGAGTGTAACTACTAGCTGGTTTCTTGAAAAAAACCCAAAAGTCCCAATTGATTGCATTGACAATCATCTTTTTTGTCCTCCCCCATAGCATCTTAGCTGTTCTTCTCCCAAAAATTTGAATAGAAAACTCAAAGTAGAATAACATTAATGAGGAGAAAGCTGGGTAATGTGAATATAGTGTAGATCTTTACTTGTCATTGTATTTCACAGAAAACTAGGATTTTGCCTCTGAAATTATGTAGTAATTTTGCTGATAGTTTGCTCCAGTCTAGTTTAACTAATAAAGGGGAGGTGCAAAAGAATTGCTGAACTTGCACTAAAGTTCAGATTAAGAAAGACTGTTTTTAATGCTATACCAGTTTACCAGGAATCCAGAGTGTTCTCTGAAGGATGCAGGTAACTGGTTATAGAGATTGTTCAAGGACCTTATAGTAATGTTTCTAGATGTTTTCTCTTCTTCTAAGCATTCTACATACACAGGAAAAAAATGGCCAGAAATAGTGGCAAATAAGTAACGCTTCATGTCTCCATTCTTTCCCGTTGCACAAATTAGGCCAGGCTTGAGGCATAGTCGTAAAATAGAAAGCAAGCTGTGGAAACTGCCATATTTCTGCCCTGTGGTGTAGAACCAGCGCTTGCTCTTGACTGCCTGTGTTCATCCTCCTCCTTTCCTGTGTTCTTGCCCTTAAACATACTGTCCGCTCAGATGTGCACTGATCTTGTTGGTTTTGTTTCTTCTAGGTCCTTTGTCCGCAAAGGTGACTGTACCTCTAGACTTGTTCAGGAAACAACCTTCTGGCCAGCAAAGCTTTGCACTGAACAGCGGGGCCAGTGAGAGCAGCCCAGAGCCGGGGCCCGGGCTGGGATCCTTTAGTGCAGAGGTACTACTGTGTTTGGATGCTTTCACAGTGGATCTTTTACTTCAGGAAGTACTTGGTAATGTTCATCTTGTGCTTTGGACTGGTATTCACAGCACAGTGTAATTTGTGGCCGCATTCAGATTGCGTGGTTGCACTTCACATGGTATTTGTGTCTATCAGAAGAATTAGCTGTTTGGCTCTTGAATGTTCATAAAAATGCTAAAGGAGTGCTAGCTAGAAATGTTAGTGTCCTTCTTGCTTGGCTGTACTTCTGTGGTGACTCTTTTTTTTGTCCTCTTAGTTCTCTTTTATAGAACCCAATGAATTAAAGACATGGCAAGTCTCTACTCCAGTGCCAGCCACTAAGATAGAAAAGGATCGCACTGTGATGCCCTGTGGGACTGTGGTCACTACTGTAACTGCTGTGAAAACCAAACCTCGCCTAGAAGGGAGATCATCTCCACTGAGCACAGGTGGGGAAGTCCACTTCCTTCTGTGTTCACTCTTGGGACTATCAGTAGGGAACAGGAGTTGGTGCAAGGGGGAGTGGGATGTAAGGAAAGGTGCTTCCAGATTTCTCCAGGATGTTGATGGTGGGAGGCATTGTTTGTATTCTTTTGAATAAAGTTTTTTATGAAGCCTTGTTCTTGCAACAGAAGTGGTTAGTGTTCCTCTCAATACACACTTTAAAGCTACATGGTAGAGTGCTAATGCAGAAGAGCTTGCTTTTGGTGGATGGTTTTCCACATGACAGAAGTATCAGACTATTAGAGTGTTTTCTGATGACAGACTGTCCTGTGCCTTGGTCTGTATCATAATCTCTAATAAGGATTGCTGTCATCTTGTGACAAGAGTTTTTTTTCGGCGTACCTCTCAGGAGCAGACTTTCCGATTCTTCTACAATAAATTCCTACATTTTACAGGTCTTTTGGTGTCAGGTTACCATAGAGAGCATGTACTGAGAATTTGTATTAAAAAAAAATCTCAAATGCTTATGATTTGAACAGGTTTTATCATTGGCATAATAAATTCTTATTATTTTAATAGTAAAGGTCTTGAATAGTTTAAATAACCAAAAAACTTGGTCCTCAGATTCTCCTGTGAAAACTCCAGTTAAAGTAAAGGTGATTGAAAAGGATTTCTCTATTCAAGCTCTCCATTCTCATGGTGCTCCAGTCAGCAAAACTCTATCATCTTCAGACACAGGTAATGGAAATCTTCAAAGCTGCTAATAAGAATACATCTCTCTCTGGTGCATATGGGATTAGTGTAATCCTGTTAAAATAACAGCCAACCCATATGGCCACAGGCACAGAGATGTTTATGTTAGCAAGTACTGTGGTGAGGGGTATAGCAATCTTGCAATAGAGATCTGTTTTTAATTGGTGATGTAAATTACTGATTTTGAATAAATAACAGTGAAGTGTGGGTTGGAGAGGGGAGGTGATTGCAGAGAAGCCAGGCTTTCTTTTCACTTGCTTTTAAACGAAAGACTCCTCATTTATAAAGACATGGGGGACACTGGACAAAATGGAAACCCTGTGAAACTTACCTTTAAGAGCACTGTGAAGTCCCCTGTCTGAACAGAAGGGCTATTGCTAGCCCTGCCACTGGGCCTTTTTGTCCTAATGCAAATACAGTCTTGCTGTGCCTGTTTTTCCACTTTCCTAAGTCACCTGGCATAGAGCTGAAATACCTTCAGAGTGTCAGGTGGAATTGATAACAACTGATTATACATTCACTTTGACTGTATTAAACCTGATTGTGACTCTGAGGCATTTTACTTTTTTGAGTTGCAACTCTGAATCTTCAGCAGAGGTTTCAACCCTGTGTGTGGTCACCATTTGATCTTTTTGTAGCTCTGTATGGAACCATAATGAAAGATGTGACCTAGTCTAGCAGCAAATGGCACATGATATGGAGTCCAGTTATCTTTGTACAGATTTGAGTGCAGATGAGACAGTCTGAAGGTGATCTAGACTGCACCTGGAAACAGTCAGAAGGCTTGCCGAGAGAGAGAAGCGTATTGGCCAAAATCAGAAATCTGGGGAAGAGCATGAACCAATAGCTGTGATAGCACTTGAACATTTCCCTGTCTCTAGACTGAGAAGTACTCTGATACCATGAAGCAGGATGGGATTACTAAGCCATAATGGGAAATGTTGATAGTGCTAGACTGCTGAGGTAACTCTTGTAACTGTTTATGCTATTAAAGATACAAAGCACTTACTGGAAAACTCCTCTTAAGACAACTTGGAGCACATTGATACAGACAGTGCTTTTATGGGAATGCAGGGGAATTTCTGTGCAGTGTTTATACCATGCAGCAGGAAGAATTACTCATTAGAACAAAAGTTTAAGAGAAACGAAAGGAATACAAATGAATGTTTGGTATGGCATCGCTTAGGTAGTAGTTATTACAAACATCATGCCAAAATAGCAAGAAGCACCATGTAAAAGATGCCATGGCTGTGCCATGGTTCTGAGTGATGACAACAGTAAGAATTAGCAAGTGCCACTGATGCTGTCCTGAATGCTATCAGCTATTCCTGGGGGCTTTGCAGTGGCTGGGGAGATGGAAAAGTAGAGGTTTACACTAAGTGTGCAGACATGCTTGGGCATGCATACACCTTGTGCACACATACTCTTAAGTTATTAAAGTATCCAAGTTACTTGGTGTAGCATAGTTATTCAGGCCTCATCTTCTATTGCATTAATGCCACAGTAACAAAAGATGTTGCTCAGTTTAATTAACATCGGTGCTATTCCTGCCTGTATTCTTTTGTTGTTAAAACTCTTATTAGAAAAGCCAACCTCAGACAGTTAAATATGGGGCTTTTTGTTTTGTTAACTTTCTTAGCCTTGTTTGTTCCTAAGCTTGATGAATTTGATTAGTGTGTGTTTGCTGTGCCCAATGTACTGGCGTACTATATGCCAGAAATGGCCATGCTTAAAAATAAACTTGCGATTGTCAATAAAGAGCATTTTATAAAGCAGGTTTTGTATTCCTGTGCAGTGTTTGGAGGTGAAAAGGGGTTACACATTACAGGCTTTCTGGAGGCAGCTGATAAAGAGCAGAGTGATTGCCACTTTGCCTTCCCTGTCCTATCATAGTGCCATAGCAAAGCTGGAAATGCTGAGCAAGGATGCCTGGAAAAAAGAGCAAAATAGCCACCTAAAGAAGTAGTAACATGTGCCAGATATGTACCGTGTTAGAACTATGGCTGTTCATGACTCTGTTACCTGATGTTCTACCCACCGCGTCTGGATTATAGTCACTGCGTGGTAGCAATGCATTGAAATAGTTGGATGTTTTGTCTAGGCTTTCTAAACCTCCTCTGTGCTCAGGGTAAGGGTTTGTAAGTGCAACTTCAGTCCTTTTTCTCAAAAGAATGGGTAACAGAAGGTTAGGACAAGACCCAGTAGCTGGGTGGTGAATTATAAGATGTTTTGGTATGCCTGGTGCTTATACCATTTCTTCTAATTTCTTTAAATTTTAAGTCAAGAACAAATTCTGCTTCTCTTTGCTCCATTTTTTTTTCTTGGTTTTCTTTCTTCCCTCTGAAATACTGCTTTCTTTTCAGAGCTGCTGGTACTGAATGGCACCGATCCTGTTGCAGAAGCAGCCATTCGGCAGTTGAGTGAGTCTGCAAAGCAGAAGCTGAAGTCTCCGAGGAAGAAAAGCACCATTATCATATCAGGGGTGTCCAAGGTAGAGCAGAAAACAATTATATTTAGTGATTAGTACTGTAAAGTGCTCCACTGAGTGCAACAGTAACTTAATGTGCATTCTGCTGTCTCCCATTCAGCAGCCTCTGCAGTACCTAGGTCTGTGTGCCAGTTTGTTTCAGTAACTGTTTCAAGTTAAGCCAAATCAGGGTGGGATTGTTGGGGAGGGTGTTGGTTTTGGATTTTTAGATTTGACAGCCTGACTAAAAATGCATGGTTGGATGAGAGTGGGATGCTTAGGGGTTTTGGAAAACCAATTTAGGTGAGTACAGGAGATAATTAGTCCTTTTCTATGTTTTGCCTATGGAGGGAAGATGCACAGAAAGAGTATGAGAGATTTTTTTCTATTTTTTTCCAAAGTTACTAAAATCCTCTGAAAAAAACTCCCAATCACGTAGGCTGTGTTCCAGAGGGAGGGCAAACAGAAGACTGTTTCTCAAATGGTGTATATATACATGGTATATATGGCATTCCTCCAGACTTTCTTCATCCCCAGCCCCAGTCTCCCATCTGATGCTTGGTGCCTGCCTGCAGGCTGCTGTATGGACATTTGCTGTTGAGTCTTGCTGTTATGTACAGGTTGCCTGAAGGGCTCTGAGTAAAAGACGAGTTGAGGCGTGGATCCTCTCATCATCACTATTGTGCTGAGGGGAGGGGATGAGGATCAGCTGCCACAGTGCCATTTATATATGCTTGGGAGATGGAGGGACTGGGCATGCATGGATTTGTATTTAGCTGATATAGATGCCAAGAAGTCCTTCCACAAGATGAAACACTTTGATGTTTATTTTCTTAAGAAGACCAACATATAATTGTCTATACATGATGATACTTCATTGCAGCAGCACATTGCAGCAAAGAGTCTCATTATTTGCAGTGGGGCTGGGTATAGGTGGGAGGCATGTACTTAATTTTTTTCCCAGTCATTTGGTGCTAACAACATTATTAAAGCTTGGCTATGTGTTCCTGTCCTTTGGAGAAGCTAAGGAAACCTCGCAGTGGCTTTCTGATAGCCCTGAGCAATACAAGTAAAAGTGTAAAGAAGAGAAAAGAACAGCTCTTTTGCAGGGAGGCTTGTTTTTTCCAGCAGAGCAGCTTGTGTCAGCACTGTCTTTTGTTTTCACCGGGCAGACCTCTTTATCTCAGGACAGTGAAGCTGCGCTGATGATGGACTATGCTGCAGCCATGGACAGCTCTTGCAAAGAAGTAAAGCCACCCACTGTGGAGGAAGCCGTCACCTCTGATGAAAAGCTGTCATTAGGTACTTCAGGAACAGTACCTGATACTGACCCACAGCAAAGCGCCCATAAGGCTTGGGGTTTGGAGAATGGCAGCCAACAGTGGGACACCAACACACTCTTAGACCAGACCTGTGAAGAAATATCTGGGAGCTCGTTAAGTGTTTCAGAAACTGGGAGCATGAAAAAATCTAAAGGTATGTGATCCTTACCTCCACTTTAGTGAATGACTGCTTTCTCTACATAATAGGTAGTGTTGTGCAGCACTCTAGTAGTTCATCCTTTCTTACTGATTTTTGTCCTTAAGCTCCTTGTGACTCCTTGTGATGTTGGTTAAAGCTGTCTTAATAGCAGCCATAAAGAGTGCAGTCCTCTGGCTCTCTAAGCCAGGTCAGGCTTTCTTACTCTCCCCTCCATCAGGAAACAGAAGGGCTCACCCTTAGAAGTTGAAGTACAGCTCACTAAGCCCAACTCAGTTATCTGGGAGAGAAATAACTAGCCACAATGTCAGCTCCTCAGTGAAAACCATGTTCTTGTCAACAAAGACTTACGCTATATTAGCAGCCTCACTACTAACATGGAAATGGCAGGGTTCCATGGTTGCCTTCTGATCCGTCCCTTCTCCTTCATATCTCTGAACACAAGACTCCTCTGCCTTCATAAAGCATGTGTTCAGGAAGCACCATGGCTAAACCAGAAGTACACTTGCTCCCAACTGCCTTATGAACCGTTTCTCCATTTTCACTGATTTCATTAATACCTAGTTTGCTACAGAAAATGGAATCAAGGGTAATTTAATAAGTAAATAAGGGGTCAGATCGTTTTGCTTGTGTAGTTCCACTGGATAGCTGCAGTTTGAAAATCTCTTTGGATTCTTTAGATTTCCTTAATAAATCCATTAACCTCTGAGGTTTGTAGCTAAGTGGTAAACACAGGGGCTGCTAGGAAGTCTGACACAAGAGCCTGTGCAGTGCACACTGGGCTGCACATTGAAGCTGCAAAAGTTGCTGTGTTTCTTACCCGTATGAATCCCTCTTTCACTTTATTTTTTTATTATTTCCTTACCCAGAGATACTGTAAAATGGCTTACTACAAAACCTCAGTATATTACTAGATTATAGTAATCCCTCCCACATAAGGTTTACACTGGATGTTTTTGCCAAGGCTCTCCCTTAGAGTATTGAGGTTTTCTGGCCTTCTCAGAGCTGTGTTGCTCAGCCTAATAGATCAGGATGGTTCAGCATCTATCTGTCATTTGACATAGATGGTCAGGCACTGGAAAGTTTTGGGTGTGTTTGGGGTGGGGGTACAGGGTTAGTTGTGAAGGGATTTATCTCATATGGAGCCTGAAAAAGTTTAGGAAGCTGAATGGGATTTTGCAAAACCTCTGGACTCTTCGTTAACATGTTATCCTAAAGCCAGCAAGTGGAAGTTTGTATGCAAGCTGTTGTCTAGGTTTGTTTTTCCCTGTGCAGTATGTTGCAAAGAGATCAGACTTCTAAAGATCCCGGTAAGATGATGTAGTATAGGACTGCTAAAAAGTGCAAAGTGTCTCTTAATATTTGAGAGAGTTGCCTCATCTTGAAAATATATTTTTTAAAAAAGTCTCAAATCCCTTTCTTTATCACAGATCTCTTTGTGGAAGTCTTGAATCTCTCCTTTGTCACAGCTGAGCAGCATTTATGGAGAGAGATAGGAAAACATTGCAGCCTCCCTGCCCTCAGTTAGCTTTGAATAGTTCAAGGTTTCTGTTTTGTCAAATGTTTTGCCTTTAAAAAAAAAAATAAACACAGATACAGACACAACAGCAAAACCCACAAAACTCAAACAAACAAAACCCCTTCTGCTTTAAAAAGCCTTGTGTATGTATTAATGTCTTAAAGTTAGCACTGTTTGTTTTTTTTTTACTCTTGCGTATTTTTATTTTTTTTACCTTTCTGACTTCCTCTTTCTTACCCATTCCCTTTTATAAACATAAGCGGACTACTATGCCAACCAGAATTAATTACCTACGCAGTAAGTTGTTTTTTGTCTTTATTTTTTAAGAAAATGTAGCTTTACACTCATTGTAGAAACTGAAGCATAACATAGTTTGGCACCCATTTTCTTCTTCCCCCATCCATTTCTTTCCTCCCTCCAAAATTACCTTCCCATGCGCAGGTGTCTTAGCAGACTGCTCTGCTGTAACAAATTGTTCTGGTTGTGCTGTCCAGGTGGGTCACGCAGGAAGGCTTGGAGGGGTGCTCTACAATCCTGATCTCTCTCCATCCTGCCCATTCCTGCAGTGTCTGGTTATCAAAGTCTGCTCATGCAAATCATGTATGACCCCATAACTGGATATGCATATGCAGAAAGCTTATTTTAAAACCTGCTGCTTACAGTTTTCTAGATCTCTTTTCTAGCCTAACTCGCAGAGCTACCAGGACCTCAGCAGGTATTTACAAAACCACCTGGATAAAAACTGTTTTGGAAGTTGGGAAGGAATGGAAAGCAGTGATCTCTGTTTGTACCCTTGTAGATGTGGAAGGAAATCTTCCTTCATTAAAAAAAAAGAGATTCAGAAGTGATCCGAGCCCCACAAGCATTTTCAAAACAGCCTAAACTAGTGCAGAGAAGCCTATGAAGACCATCAGTCTGTACAGCACTCTTGACGTGCTCTCTGCATGCCTCCTGGTGTTAGGGGCACAGTTGGCATATGGATCCTGTTGAACTCGAGAAGTAAGCATGCAAATAGCACGAGCATTGCCAAGCTTGTGATTTGCCCTGCCCTGCCTTCTTAGCAGGGGTGCATGCCTCCACAACAGCTGGAGCCGCTGTCAGGCAGCACGTACCACACTGGCTAGAGACTGATGGGTGGCAGCAGGGATGTGGCAAGCTTCCAGGGAACAGTGACCTCAGTACCTCCAAAAACACAGGAAGCTTTCATCTCAGAGAGCTGCTGCTTGTGCCGAGCTGGTGCTGCTCTCAAACAAGCACTCTCTGCAATTTTTCAGCTGCAGCGAGTCGTCTCAAGCCACCAGCACAATTTTTTACTGCCTTCTTGTTTTGGTTCTATTTCATAGTATGGGAAATCAGTCTGAATGGGTAGGACTAAATAGCTGCTTGTGGATAAACCCTTCTGTCCAACTCCTTCTGTTGGCACAGCTTCAGCTGCAGCTGCCAAGACTGCTGGGCAGAACAGCTGACTGCTCAAACAAAAGCCACACAGCAGCAAGGCTTCGTCAGTCCCCTCAGCCTTTGCATATTAACAGCTGTCAGTATCATGGAGTTGAACACTGTTTCTTTTATGCTGTTGACAACAGCTTGAAGTGGTACTGCTTTGCCAAAAAGATCTATCAGAGGGTGATGGGATAGCAGTCAAGATCCAAATCCATGAGTTCCAGTTGCTTTCAGCTGGCTTCTGCTTCCATCCCATCATGCCCTGTGAGAAAAGTCTCAGCAGCGGCAAGACAAAACATGCTAGAGTATCTTCCCAGATGCTGAGTGCTTAGTCCTTAAAATACAAAGTAATAATCCCAAGCACATGTTTTGTAACTGCTCCAGTCTGCAGAAGGAAGCATCTGGCTGCGTGCAGCAGAGCTGCCATGAAATACCTATTCTGCAGCTGTTGCGGTGCAAAATGACACACAGCCAGTGTCAGGTCCTTAGGGAACAAAGAGGTAATTCTAGCTATTGCACAATACTGCATGAAAGAATTGGCCTGTGTGTTGCTTTTTGTATCCTTTCGCAATGGAGGGAAAAGCAGAATCAAGACTGTGTGGTGACAGGAGTTGATAGCTGAGCTGAGAAAGAACTGGGAAACCCAATAGCAGTGTGGGAACGAGGTGTGGAAGCTTTGCCAGGGAGACGACTCCTCACATACTAGTCTGACTGCCAGAAGGCTCCTGTGTTGGCTTGCTACCTGGGTCCTCCTTCACTCAAATTGGCTCATACCACTTGGGTAACGACACTGCACAATTTTGGATAAAACCGTTGCTGTGTTATCACTGGGCTGCAGTACTGACACCGGGCTGAGTGTTGCTGGTACCTTAGTGTGGTGTCCCTGCCAGCTGCCACTGAGCTGCCTTACATATCAGGCACACATGTGTACATGGAAAGGGAAGGTGGAATTTGGCAGAACAGTGGCTGCAAAAACATCCCGAACTTGCAAAGAGAGAAGAGTGCTGGTAGCTGGTGTTGGCAGCATGAGTCCCAGGTGCCTGGTGAGATGACAGCTGCAGTTGCCTTGGCTGTGTAATAGGTGTGACATGGGATCAAGAGAAGGAACGCAACAAAATAAAGCAACCTAATTTACCATGGAAGGGATTTGAGCAAATTTCTGAACCTATTAGAAGCAGATGTAATATTATTTTTAATCTGCTTGAAGTGAATTGCTATTTCTAACAGGATTTTAAAATGGCAAGTGCTTTGTGATTGTTATTCTAGGCTAGGTGGTGCTATTGAATTCATGCAGAATACATGCTGGCTGGCCTGTATGGGCCTACTGCACGCAGATTGAATGCGAGGTACTGTTTTGCAGCACCAACAGTATCCTTCACCTCAAATTAAAATGCTACCTTCATGTTGTGCATCGTGGCCTAATCTTTTCTTTTCAGCTCCTTTGATCTCTGAAACAACAGAGAGCAACATTATTTCCTCTTTTTCATTCTTTTTATAAAATACTCTGTACTTCTGTTGTGTTGGAAAGATTGGATATGCCTGTTTGACATGTGAGAACCCAGTGTACAACCCACACCAAATGCTGTGCATGTGGATGTTTCAACACTACCATAGCTTTCAAAAGAGCATTTGAAACTAATGAAGTGTAAGGAAGGAGACTTCCACCAGATGTGTGAATTGCCTTTAGAAGCTGAAATCAGAGGATTAATATTTGATTGCTCAAAGGCATGTTTCACGGTAGCTTTCCTTCCTTTTCAGCAGCATCATTTCTGAAAGAATTGAAGGAAAATTCCTTTTTTTTTAGTGCTCCTCTAGCAATATCTGTGAGCTCTTCTCTCCTGAATGTTCCTGCTAACTGTACAAGTGTGTGTATATGCATAGATCTAGAACTACCACAGTCTGTCATGATTCAGTTTGCATGATACTTGCATGGAATGAGGAGGAGTGGAGAAATACGTACTTCCATGGAGTCTGAATTTCTCAGTGGTGGTCAGCTGGGAGAGAGCTGGATCAACAGCGGGGCAAGGAGGATTCAGTAGCATGTAGTGTTTCTGGCTGAAAGCACGACAATCGCTTGCATTTGCCAGTATCTGAAATCACTTGTTCCCAGGTGGAACTGGTACTATTACGGCCTCTAGGTTACCAACCATCAGTATTCTTGCTTTAGATTCACCACGCTCTTAGCTTTCTAGCATCGAGTGGTTACCAGGGTGATGTTTAAACTGGAAATGTTGAGACCAAGGCTTTTTTCAGTCATGATGCAGTTACAGTTAAAGCTGAACTCCAAGGGGAAAGCAGCCTGTTCTGTCTAAAGTGTCCTGCCCCTCTGCTGTTTGCTTCCACAGGTGGGATTTTGAAAAAAAGCGCAAAGCTCTTTTTCCGCCGGCGACATCATCAGAAGGATCCAGGAATGAGTCAATCACACAACGATCTTGTCTACCTGCAGCAGCCACTGTCGGAGGAAACTCGCAAGAAGGGAGGCACACTTTCACGTATTCTGAACAGAAAGCTCCTTTCCAAAAACAAAAGCAAGAGCAAACTGAATGGTGCTTCGGCAGAACCATACGCATGACTGAACGCTCTCTGGTGGGATACTTGCACATCAGTTGACCAGTTGTTTACAGAGCAGTACTAGAGAATACAAATATGGCTGATGACTTTCATAAAATGATGGTCACTGATACAGTGGTCCAGGAATAAACAGAAAGCTTGTCTTTTTTGTTTATTTTTCCAGAGTGCTTTTTCTCTTCGATTATAAAGTTGCTCTTCCAAATACAAGCAGCACTAATTGTATCATGACAGCTTTTGAAGGACCATGTGGTTTACAGCAGAAGATGAGGGACGATGGGGAATGGTGCAGGTGGGGAGGACCTAAGCACCTAGTTTACATTAACGGGGAACTAAGAAGTGAAACATCATACCTGTTATATATGACTGAACCACTATAAAGAGAGAAGATACCACTGTGCTTCCTTACTGCAGCCTGCAATAGTAGCAGTGCAAGTCTAAACTTGATTTTCTAGTCAGGCTGAAAGGGAAAAGAGAGACCCAGATCCAGTTTGTATTGTAATTTGGAAACGGGTAAGTTTTCAGAAGCAGAACAAAAATGCTGATTGAGATAGCCTGCTGTAATAACTGCTCAGTCCATGTAGGTGGAGAGATGCCTTTGATATTAGCCATAAATCAATAAATTATGCAAATACTTATGGTAGCGTATTGTTTAATGTCCTGTGCATAAGTTACGCTTAAAAAAACCAAATTTTTTTAAAGTCTACTTGTGAACAAAGCATTTAGAAATTCTTACATGAAGCTTTTCTTCCCTGTGTGAGAAGCTGCATTGCTAGTGCAAAAACCTATCTTAGGGGCTCTAATTCCTTCTCCCAGATACTTGTTAGACAAGTATATTAACCATCATATCAAATACAAGGCCAGGTGCTGTAAGTGATGAATAGAGTGTATTTAACCCTATAATGCTTTTCATTAGACAGCTTGTTTTACTTGCCAAACAATTCCTGAGATCTTAGAAAACGCAGTTGTGAAGACAGCTTTTTAATAAATAATAATAACAATTCCCCTAGTCATCTTTAAGTTTTCATATCTACCAGTGTTGTCAAGTGTCGAGTGGTTGGTTGGGTGTGCTTTTTTACATTTTTTTCCTCATTAAATACTGCAGCTAGCTCCTTTAAATTAAAAGGAAAAACTGACGAAAATAAAGGCATAATTCTTGGTTTGGCTATTAAGAGAAGTAAAATCTCAGTCAGTATTTCCCAGGTACCATTGTTTGTGCATACCTGTACTTTTCCATCATATGCATTCCTACTGGGGACAAAGGACCAAGCCTGTTCTCTTCAGCCAAGAGGAACATCCATTCCATCTAAATTACTGGCATGAATGGGTGATAGATTTGTCAACAGCGCTTTCTCCCCTCATTTTTCCTCCCCTTAAGGCATCTAGCACTTTGACAGATATTTGGGCTTTCAACTTAAACCATTCTTCAAAAATAGAAAGTCCCTGAAGAACAGAAACACATTTCAAAACTTCTGATGGACTTCAGATTCCTTGGTAAATACTTTTACAAAGAATATAACATTAGAGGGGGGATTTTTTTGTTTGATTGTTGGGTTTTTACCAACAAAATATTAGAAGAAATGAACTGTCAAAGTCTTTTAACTGAGGCTACTGCTTAAAAATACCTTTTATGTGTAACCTCGTAAAAGCAGTATGGTAGTACAGCAGTCCAGACTATCAGATAGTTGTAGGTTTAAGCATGCTGCTTATTATGGAAACACTTGAAGGCATTTTACTGTTCTGTGTTTTGAAAATTGGTTACAAATGAGTCTCCTAGAGCTGTAATGTGCTTGAAAATCCCAGTTCAGTAGTACAGGGTGGTCCAGCTTGAATGTGCTTGAACACTTTCCGGTTTTGTTAATGTAATACAAAGTAGAAGTTAGTTTTCTTCATTTGTTCTACAGTGGTTCGTGATACGAGCATCAAAAAAACTGATGTTATGTTTTCTCAACATACTTTTTTTCCCCTTGACTTTACTACAAGCTCTTTGCACGATGGGGCAGGGTGGGGGTCAAATCACTACCGTGTTTTAAATGTCAAGTCTTGCTTGCTGGAGGAGAAAACCAAAACTGGTCATTGAGTTCAAGAAATCAAAGTGAGACTGAGCTCCATAATTGTGGAATGAGGACTGTAAAGTGAGCACGTAACACTTCTTGAAGTCTGCTTAAATTACTGAACTGGGATTTTGATTTACAGGAGCTTTATCATGTATTCTAGGATGGGGTGGAAATAGCACTGACTAATTGCAGAATACAGGAGTAGGGTTTGCTGGTAGCTTACCCCAAAGAACAGATACATGCTGAAGTGGTTTTTTGGTTCCCCTTTCTTAAGGTCTTGATGATTGCCTCAATGCATGTCTTGATGGTGGGAATAAGAATATTCTACACTGCAAACTGTGTGAAGGTTTGGGTTCACGTATATTGAGAGAGAATTCTTAAGATGAGGAAAGCAAGGTATTTGTGGTAAAAAGGGAATATTGTTTTTTAAATGCCTTCACTCTTCAGAAAAATAAATATAATTTGGTTTGATGTTTGACCTTCATATCTGGCTGCTGTGTTCCTCACCTCTTCCTAGTCCTCTACAATTTATGTCCTGTTGTAAAAACAAGCTCAAGTACTAACCACAGATGAAGAATTGAGTTGCTCAGTCATGACATCCTCAAAAGCCCATAATATTGAATGCCATTTCCCCTTTCCAAGATGATTAGGTTGACATTTAAGATCGGCAGATCTGAGTAAGCACACTTTTTGTGTACTAGTGTTTAGGTCAGCATGAGTTAGGGTCCTGACAACCAGCAGAAGCCATGGTACACGTTTGGGTAGGGAGGATTTAGTTTGTAAACTGGCATAACGAAGTGCTGCATGTTTCCTGTGTGAAGGATACTGTTTTGCAATCTTCATAATTTTAATAACTACACATTTGAACGGTAGAACAAATCTTTGCATGATATTACACTGAAAACTTCTTGTTTTCTGTCTTCTAATTTAATTCAGAACAACAGCTGGGAAGCAACTGTGAAATCTTTCCTCCTTTTTGCACCTTTTATTACACTTCTGTGTTTCTGGTTGTTCTGTACAGCAAAGAAGGCATGGTATTTAACCTATGAAGACTAAGAGATGAAGGCTTGCTTTTCCTTTCTGAAGAATTTTTCTTCCCATAATGGAACCTTCTTAATCTGTGGTTGTGATTTGTTTTGCTTTATGGCATTTTAGCTTTTCATTTGCCTTGATGGAGACAACCTGCATCCTTACCTAACCAAGATTTGCCTTGGCTTTAGTATGGATTTTACCCAAGTAAGTAGTACAAGAATTACATTTCTCTATGTAGAGTAAAGCAATAAAACTACCTAATATCTCGTGTGAGTACAACCTAGGTAACTTTCTTGAAGTGACCGAGATCGCTTTAAAAACCGCTTTAAAGAGAGAGGGTTCCTTTATCCCTAAGTCACTGGTATTTCATGTCCAAGTCATCCCAGGAAGAAATTACAGTCATTTCACTCCTAACTGTATATGAAACTTGTGAATTTGAGGTGTCAGGAAAGAAAGAGAATGCCATAGTGAAAAAAAAAATAATTTAAAAAGCAAAAATACCTTTGGCAAACTTCTTCAGCTTCATAGACAGGTCATAAACTCTGCAGGCATAAATACTGGGCTTTATTCTTACGCTTGCTGTTGGATTTTCTTTTTTCCCCTGCCTTTTCTTTAGGAGAGAGGTTGAGGCACCAGATCATGCAGACCTGTAGACTGCTTTGATCTAGAGAGGACTTGTCCTACAGCGATGCTTTTTTCCAGGTGTTCTATTGCCTGGCAGTGATACCGTGTTTGAGGATCAGCAAATTTTTACAGCATTTCTTGGTACTGCATCTCCTTGCTGGTTCTAAGTGGTTTTCAAGTGAAAGCTTTCTGCTGTGTATTTCTTGTAAAGTTTTGGTGTTCTTGATATGCAAAGTGTCATAGGAAAAGCAAAGTCAACTACATAAAATGTTACCAAATGTGTATGGGGATGCAAAATAAGAGTATTGCTCTTGTTTTAACACCTTCTTCAGCTCTGGTAGCTCTAGATGTTTCAAGGAGCAGAAGCTTTATGCAAGGTGGGAGCTGCATGGCTTTTTCATTTTTGTTTATCGCAGGCTTTGAATTGTAGAGCTGAAATTTGAGCTAAGTGCTTATCCTGGTGCAGAATTAAGCGTAACGTAGCTCTGGGCTAAGACATTCTCAGTGTGAGGGGGAACAGGTGACCTCATGCTTTGACCTCTGCAGGACCTAAGTGGATTTATTCATGTGTTTAAAGTCAGCATATGCTTCTGTACGTTGCTAAGCCACAGCCTTGGTGACAAACAACTTAAGATTAACTATCTAACAAGGGTGATTAAGGGTGAATAATACCACTTCACTCAGGATATCCAAACTGCTACTATGCAAGGTGCTGGCGTGGTGTGAAAATAACTGGGAAGGATAGGTCTGAGGTCTTTCCAATACTGTAACTCTGTATTTCCCAATAATGTATTATGCTCTGAGATTCCAGGTGGGGTAAAACATTTTTTTTTTTAATTCAGTTGTGATAGTCACTTCTTCTATGGTGGGATTATTTTTTCTTTTTTTTTCTGTGTGTACACAAAATTAAGTTGGTGCAATTAGGAAGTCTATGATGTACAGATTTATTATATCACTAATATATAGTGATATAGCCTGAGAAGAGGATTTTTTTAAATAACTACTGCTGTACACAAAATAAAAGCCAGTTGTCTCTGTGTAGTGTGCTGTCCTACATACCTAGTCAGCCAACTGTAATAGATGGTTTTCCAGCATTGATTATCCAGCATTTCCTCCTTCACTAATTTGACCTGTTGCTTAACACAGTCCTTTTACCTGTTTATTCAGGAGCAGAGTTCTCCACCTACGGGGTGCCAGCATGGTGGGTTGTTTCTGACCATATCAGATGGCCCCTTCTTGTTCCTTGAGAAATTGCCTGAAACATGGACTAGTTGGGAATCTAATGGAAAAA